GGATCCCTCTCCCTTCCTAGCTCTTAGATAGACGTAGCAACCTAGGCCTATAGCCTCTAAGAATAGGGACCTTAGGCCGCTAAGCTTAGTATCTAGAAGAAAGAAGAACGTACGGGCTACGTTTATATGCCTACTACTATAAAAGGTAATGCTGTATCTATAACGACAGTGCTATAGGCTAATATAAGCTATACTAGGCCTAGGCGATTTGCTCCTAGTTACCGAGTATCTCTAGAGAAAAGCTAATACTACCCCGGGGGTATTATTAGTCCCGCTAGCCTTACTACTATAGATTACTACTAGGTGCTCGAACTAACTAGTTACATTTCGAGTACGCGAGAATCTACGAAAGCTAGAGGTTAATAAAGGCGCGTAGTCGCTACTAGTAATTAGCTAGATCGATTATTAAACTTTAGCCTACCCTACTAATAAAAGAGTCTCGTATATAGCTTTACTTTTTAGGGTCTATATATAGTCGTTATCCGTTTACTTTACCGGAACACATAGACTACGCTACCTTTATACCCTATTTAAGGCGAGCTTTCTAAGCTCTTTCTTCTATCTAAATACTAACTAACTTACTACCGCCTACCCCCTCCCCCTTCTTCTATCTAAACCCTTTAATTATTATTAACAAGCTACGAACGTTTTTGTAAACTCGTTACTAACTCCTTTCTAGTCCGGTCGACTAAGATATCTTCTAGCGCCCTAAATCCGCTAGGCGCTAGCAGCAGTAGCAACCTACTAGCCCTAAACCTAGGCGTACTAGTCCCGATCGAAGCCCCCTCCGATAGCGCCTTAGTTGCTATAACTAGCCTCGAGTACTGTTTCTAGATCGTTACCGCTATCGACGACCCCTAAAAGAAGATTAAAACCGCTTATACCTTACTACGCGTTATCGATCGAAACATTAAGAAGGCTACTATCTTAGTATTATATAGCATAAACAACTTACGCTAGGACATTAGTAAGCGTATCTTTAAGCGAGACGTTCTTTAGGATATAGAGCTTTATTAAGCCTTTCCTATCGTTTATAGCCTCGAAACGGCGGGCACTACGATTCGTATACGCTTTACGAACCTTAATTAAGCCTTCGAGTAGTAGGGAGGTCCGAGTAGTCTCCTAAAGAGCCTTATTAACTTCGCCTACGATAGATAAGAGCGTACTAAGCAGGTTGCGTCGTTTGTTAATAAGCATCCGGTCCGTCGTAAGGGAGTAGAGCACCTTTCCCGTACTATAATCTATCGAGTCTCTACTACTAGTAAGAAGCACGGTAAGTAATTAGTTAACTTAACCTTCGTACTTAACGACTTTACGACAGCCTACTAGAAGCGGCATAAGGACGCTATTGCCGAGGTAGATCTTAACGCCTAGTCTACTAAAGATCTACTAAAAGAGAAGGGCTATTATATTAATAGTGCAGGCTTTATTATTAAGGATTAAGAGGCTCCTATCGTAGATGTTCTCGAACGTAAGGTCCTTCGCCTTAAGATAGAAGCTAATACGGCTGCTAGTCTAGCGCTCGCTATAGAGATATAGGCATAAGATCGCCGCTCGACCCGCAACTATAAGGTCTTTTAAGAAGTTTAAAATAAGCGCGCTAAGGCAGAAGTAGCGCGTTAGAAGGCATTGTAGGCTCGCTAGGCATTCTAGAAGGCCGCTAAGAAGTCTACTGCACCTTCTAGTACTAACTATAGTAACTCGGATATTAATATACTAGATGCGCTACTAGAAGACAGTATTTCCTCCGAAGGTTCCTTTAGTAAGCGTAGGTATAGAGGCCTCTCGCCGATGCTATTAACTAAGAACATCTATAGTTCCTATAAGGGTAACTCTATTATACATCTTATTACCGAGATCGATATAGTTTATAAGGCCGATATAGGCAAAGCATCTATCGCCCTATCTATCTATTAGTAGTATAACGATCTTAGTAAGCTAGGCGAAGATCTGTTTACTATATATGCTAGCTATATTAAGAAGGCCGCTAAGGCGTATAGTCTCTATACTAGTACTAAGACGAGTATCCTTATTAGCCGCCTATTAAAGATTAGACGTAATGTCGCTAATTAAGATGCCTTCGCTGCCCTTAAGGCTAATTAGGCCTATACTAACTAGTTTCCTAGACGCCCTATTGCCGCCCCGATATCTCTAGGACTCTATGCGTTTAACCCTACTAGTACTATTACTCGCGCCCTTACGCTAACAGATCGCTAGAGTAAGTTCGTTACCGGCATCCTTAGCTAAGGCACCTCCTTCGACCGCTTTCGCTAGACTAGTAATACTATCTTCCCTTAAGTCTTTAGTTAGTTATAAGAGCCTCGTAGAGTATATCTTCCTTTCCTTATCGATCTAATATAGGAGGAGTTTAAAATGTACCTTTAGCATATACGTACAATGCCTAAGTCTAAGTAAGAAGGCCGCAATGTCCTTTAAACTTATAGTATAAGCAACTAAATCGTCCGCTAGTACCCTGCCCTATAGCTCTTAGCTGTCGCCCTTCGACCTAATTATATATACGAGCTTATCTCCGTCTCTAAGCCTACTAAGTTCTTTAAGGTTAGCGGTACTTATAAAAACTGTCCTTCTAAGGAGTCTACTCGTCTCGGACAAGATATAGTTAAGCTTATAGCTAGCGAGGGTGCTAGTTACCTACGTATTAAGGTCTGCCTTATATCTAAGGATAAGACTAGCTACTCTACTATTGTCGAAGGCATATATTAGCCTAAGGTCTTTGCGAACTAGGTTAAGAAGCTTAAGGCTCGTAGCCTAGTCCTACTAAGCAAGATCGGTAAGCTTACTAATAAGTACCTTACCGACGACGACCTCGACTATATATTCGATAGTTAGCCTAATAGTAAGGGGCGTAAAGCGGAGTAGATCCTTAACCCTCTAAAGGAGTGCGAGGTCTCTGTTTAGATGCTATACCTGCTATATAGTAATCTAAAGACTAAGAGCAACCGTATATTAATTAACCTAGGCTACTCTCGCGTTATTAACGGCACTAAGGTTAAGGGCTACAAGAACTTAATAGTCTCTTAGGTTGCTAAAGCGCACTGCAATCTAACCGCCCTCCTAGCCTCTAACTCCTTCGTACTATTCGCTTTCCCTACGGCTATCTTAGTCGAAGGCCTCGGCTATATCTCTAACGCCCTAGTTAGTAGGATTCCTTAGTTAAGTTACGTTATTTAGAACGAAGTTAAATAGATCCTCTAGCTTAATAACGAAGGACTTAAGGAATATCTATACGATTAGGAGAATGCTGCGACGGAAAAGGCTGCTAACCTCCTCGTTAATTAAGCTCTCTATAAGGGACAGTACTTCGGTACTAACAGCTTTAACGTATATAGAGGAGATTTCGAGAGCCGACTAGTAGATAAGGTTATTGCTAGTAAGGATTACGGCGCGTTAAAGCAATAGTAAGTCTATATAGTATTGCTTAGGAAGTTGTTTTTGCATAATTATAGTATCTAGGATAAATACTACCCTAGGGGTGTTATTGCGGAGTTCTAAAAATAGCCTTAGCTAAGAGCGCTAAGGATGCATATATATTTGTTTTAAGCGCGCAATGTAAAGCGTATCTAGTTAGATACGAAGAAAGGGAGGGATATTAGCTAGTAACCGGCCCTACACCTATAGGCTAGTTTTAAGCCTATATAAGAGGCCTCCTTCTATAGAGTAGACAGATTATTAACCTCGTATAGTATATTATTTATATTACACTTCTATAATGCCTATGTTATAGGGCTCTAGTTATTAGCCTAAGCGATAGTCTCGTTATCCTATCTTGCTAAATATAGCTGCCTATATTGCTATAGGTTATATTACCCTCGGTAGCCTATACTATTACTATAAGTAGTAGTAGTAGTATTAGTTTCCGTCCTTTAGCGGACATTACAATCTATAAGCTTATTACTTGCGGCTAATTTCAGCTAGCTACTATACTATAGCTTTAAAATAATCGAGCCTTTTAATCGCGACTAAAGGGCGACTTAGCTACTCCTCGGTAGTAACTAGAGACGTTTAAGGGCTTCGCTAGAATAAGATCTCGAATAGCGCTAAACCTAATATAGTATAGTATAGAAATAGAAGTTACGAGTAGCACACATACGAATTTAACTACGAAGCGCCTAAATAGAGGTAGATATAGCGGTTCTATTCGATAAAAGCTAATAATATATTTAATAGAGTAGTTAACTAGTTATCTTAGAAATTACAAGCTACTAGCTATTATACTCGTTACGCTTCTATATCGTCGCTTTCGATCTAGATCTCTAGGCGTAATCTTTAGCCCTACTAAAGCTTTAGATAGAGAAACCGCCTATCTCTATATAATTATATAGTTATAATATATAAACAAAATTAGTATTATTCGAATCTATAAGTTATAGTAAGTATTTATATCTATATCTTTTATATATAGAGCTAGAAGGGCGATATCTATTTAAGGTTACGCTATCTAAATTAAATAGGACGAAAGTCGTCGACTAATAAGTTATTTATAGTATATAGTAGGCGAAAGCATCCGATTAGCTTAAATATTAGCTAGATAAATAAAATAGGCTCTCTTAGGCGTTATATAATACTATAATATATCCTATATCCTATACTCTACTACTACTAACTTATAGGGATTTTAGGTAGATAAACTACTTAAATTTTAATAGATAGAACTAAAGAATATATAGTAACTATACTAGTAATATTACTAGGTAGCCTAGTAATAATAGTACTATATAAGATTTATATTCGCCTTTATTTCTAGACTTCTAGTAATAGATTTACCCTAGTAGTAGATTCTATAGTATATTTAAGTTTTATCTATTTAAAAGTAAAAGCTTTAGGACTTTTTATTTAGTCTTTCTATAGACTACTAGGCAAAACATTACTAATACAATTACCTCTACCTATAATTTCTCGTAGATTCGTAGATTGTAGTATTTAATATTAAGAACAAGTTAAAACCCCCTAGCATAACCAAACCCGAGTCGCATCACAAACTACTCATTTTCATCGCCACCCACTAGAGAACCTCTAGACATTTTGCTCTTACCAGATTCAGAAGGCTCTTCTTCATCATTTTGACATGTTCGGGCATTGTGTACGCTCTTGCCGCAGTTGCCATCGCTTTTGTGCCCTGACGTCTCACCGATACTGCCCAGGATGATGTTCAGGGAGCTCTTCGTCGTCACCATAGTAGTCCTCTTGGCATTGCAGCATTACATTTTGGGTGAGCGATCTATCAGTGTCATGAAGCAAGTCCAGACAGACGAGGCTAATTAGAGTCTTCTGCAGATAATGATCCGTATGGGTGCCAGTCTCTGATCAGAACAGGCCATTGGCTTGCTGGTGAATGGCTGCCCTCTGGCTGCGGTGCAGTTCAATATGGGTGGGTTTTGCCCAGTCATGATCAAGGACTGTATGCTAAGATCGTGCCGGATATTAGGAGTCGATCACTGCAGACTTGCACTCAGGACCGGAAGCGAAACATCGTATTTGCTGGGGACCTGCAACTTCAAGGCATATATTACCATTTTACGCAACGGATGACCACTTCGAAGAATAAGCAGATTCCTGCGCCGCGAGAGCGAGACTTGCATCATGAATCTGGGACCGTCTCTCTGTCCTTCTTGTACGACCCTCATCTCAATGGGAGCCTGCTCATGGATGCCGTCGAAGCATTTCGAGATCAGACGCCGGAGAGTCCGATGCTGCTGACCATCGGTGCTGCGAACAGCGCGAGCGAATCCGCTTCTTCGCAGGCATACCTGGATCGTGTGCATTCAATCGCCTCCTCAGCGCATTCGCGCAGACCGTATACCGAGCTTGGATCAGATCTGGATTACCAGCATGGACCAGGCGACCTGCTTCTCTTTGCGCCTGCCGAGGAATCATTCGACGCCGAGCGCTCGAAGCCTTTCCGCGAGCTGAATCAAAAGTTGCTTGAAGCATCTATTGACACGCCCTTTCATCTCATATCGGCTTTCACACATATGACCTCTGGGCCTGGCGATTATCTCGAGCCGGGCTCGCTCTTGGTCAAAGAGGAAGTCTTCCGCACTCGCGCGGATCTGCTTCTCAACCTTCGGTGCAATGCTATAATCGTTGGAAAGGGCCATGCTAACAATGTGGCCACATGTTGTGCTAATTGGCGAAGGTCCAATGGGATTCAACTTGTCGCCATCATCTCTCTTGGCATGTTTCTGCCTGCTCTGGCCGTCCTGCATATTCGCACGAAACTACTCCCAAGCAATGTTCGGCCTATTCTATACGCATTCGCATCATTTAGCATTGCAATCTTGCTCGTCTTCATTGCTGATCGGAGCCACGTATTTGGTCATGTCCGCAAAGATGCATTCAGGTATGAAAATGGCGGAATGCTGTTTCTGATCTCGCTCATTGCTGGTATTGCAACCATCCGTCGGGGCTCGACAGGCAAGTCGCAGTGTGCAAACAACAATTTCCTGCCTCGCGAGCAGAGTAGCGAGTGGAAGGGCTGGATGCAGCTTGTAATCATATTTTATCACTATGGACAGGTAAGTTACTTCATCATCATTCAAAGCATGATGCTTCGCTGTCTGCATTTCGAGGTTTTGACAGCATGCAGGTCGCCGCTCTACCTGTCTGGCACTTCCTCCGCCTCTGCGTCTCCTCATACCTCTTCCTCACTGGTTTCGGACACACAGTCTTCTTTCTGCAAAAGAAAGACTATTCCCTACGACGATTTGTCAACATCATAATTCGTCTGAATTTGCTAGCCATCACCTTGGTATACACTATGCGAACGAGTTGGGTTACCTATTACTATATTCCGCTCTGCACAATCTGGTTCTTGATCGTATACGCTACACTCGCCGTTGGCCGTCACCATAATTCGAACACAATATTCCTGCTCGCCAAAATCGCGGCTGCGGCATTCTTGTTGAACAAGGTCCTGTACGCGGACGGGCTCCGCGAAGCACTGCTCGCATTCTTCACGGCCATGACCAAAGGCTACTTCCCCGTCAGCTTCTTCGACAAGCGCTTCAATAACGATCGCTACATCGTCTTCGTCGGCATGGCTGTTGCTCCCGTGTATCTTTGGCTCACAGATCTCATCAAATCTCACCATGGTGGCCACAAATCTTTGTTGGCAACGGCCAACGAGAAAATTCCGAGCACAAGACAGAACTTCACCAAACTCGACAAGGCCGTACTCCAACACTGGACCCTAATTAAAAGAGCCGCCGTTATCACCGCCCTGATCGGTCTCCTCGCATTCTGGCGCTGGGGCTTCACACTCACCAAATCCGCCTTCTCCGCACAACAAGCCTATACGAATTGGATACCAATCATCTGCTTCGCAATCCTCCGTAACGCACATCCAACCCTTCGAAACTACCATTCGAAATTCTTTGCCTGGGTAGGAAATTACTCGGGAGAAATTTACGTTCTACACTTCCATATCTGGCTCGGCGCTGATCAAGGCGCAGTGTTGAGGACAGGACTCTTTCATGGAGATGAGACATTCTACGGAGATCGCTGGAGAGACTTGACAGTGTTGACGCCTTTGCTTTTGGTTTGTGCTGCGCTGGTTGGGAATGCTACGGGAAAGATTGCGGAATGGTTTGTCAAGGATTGGGGGATGGAGGATGAAGATGAGGGAGAGGAGGTGTATCAGGAGAAGAGTGCATTGACGTTTTTGAGATCGTGGGCCATACGGCCTTTGAGAAAAAGCTTGAAGAGGAGATTTGTCCTTGTTTTGGTTGTGCTATGGGGACTGAATCAGGTGTATTTCTGAATTTTCCCGGCCGCAGCAGCTCTCAGTACTCGAACCCAGAAATTGTAATTTGGAAGCAAACTCCCATAACGCCATTGAAAGTTTAAACCATGTTCTCCCATCGTTTTTGAGAGCTGACCGGTCCTCCCATGGTGCTATGACATCCCAACTTGGTATAATGCCCCTTATGTCGTCTTGAATGAGTTTTGTCGGTGTGTCTGATGTTTTCGTTACTCGATTCAAGGAGGTGTAGCTGTCGTGAGTTATTCTCGGTGTTCAATCAGTGTCGTGTCGTGTGGAGCAGAGTCGAAGGAGGAAAGCGCCGTCTCTTTCATCCGGAGCAAGGGACGTTAAGACAGGTTGTGGCGAGATACACGGCGTAGAACGAGAGGCGCGTTTTCAGTGCAGAGTGAGACCGTCTTGTGAATACAAGGAGATCGATGTTCCACGACCCATGGTCATCCACCTTGCGGAATCAATCTCCCTGATTGCCACAGATTCTCTTCAACGCCGACTGAAGTCTGTCTTCCCTTTGCTTGTCCTCACGTGCACGGATGGTTTCGATCTCATCTCTCATAGCGCGATGGTCGTCATACGTTTGCAGCACTTGCTTCAGGACATCATACACATCACCAAGCGTCTTCCGATCATCCATAAGCCAATGGATGCGATCATGACGCCGTAGCGGAACCAAAGTATCGTATGCCGTGCCCGAGACGTATTGAAACTCAAAGCGGATTGTCGGTGCGATGTGCCATTTGCAGGTCTGCATCGCTCTCCATGATGGCTGGGCGCATTGCGCTCCGAGTGCTTCAACAGTCTTGAGCCGAGACAGGATTAACTGAACGCGGTAGTCTCGGATCTGGAACCGGATTGTATAGTCGGCCGTAAAGCCAGTGGATCGTCTGCCCTCTCTCCGTCCGGTGCATGTGATGTCGTCCCAGATGCCTGCACTCTTGAGGAGCCAGCCTAACGGCTGGTTTTCCAGGTCCCAGTCTCTTCCTGAGTCTCCGTCCGTACGCGCAAGCCACATTAACTGTTTCAGCTTGGGTGAGCCTGTGATGGTGGCTGCGACGCTCTTGTTTACCCCCTTCACAGTGTAAAGCCAGCGCGTGGGCTTGCCTTGTGGTAGTACACGACCATTATATGCTGCAAGCAAGATGGCCTCGCACAGTTCAGCAATGCCGAATACCCTAGTGGCAAGTTGACTGGAGCGAAAGGTCTTCCGCCGCACTTGAGTAGCTTCAAGAAGGTGCGAGAATGAAGCTTCCTCCTCAGAATCGTCTCGTGATGGTGAGAGGGTATCGGAATCAGGGCAACGACTGAAGATCGGTCCCAGTAGGTTTGCAGAGTGCATCTCGTGACCATCTCGACTAGCAATCAAGCTAGTTGGAAAGTAGGTAACTTCGTCTGACTTTGCCGCCGTGTATGGAGAGCTCCATACATCTAGATTTCCTAACCGTGGTGGAGGGGAGTCGTCAACCGGAGATCTCAAGCCCACGTTTTCATCATAAAATGACGAAGCCTGTGGCAAGAGCTGCGGTCGGCGGGCAATGTTAATGGACTCGACTGTCAGCGGATGTAGCGAGTCATCTTCAGCGATCTCAGAGCCTAGCCGAAGGCGCGGAGGCGTTAATCGAGATCGTCTGTTGGCGAGACTAGGCGTGGCGCATGGAGTATCGACTGCAATGGTGTCGCTAGGGGACTCGTCTGCTGGAAGCGGTCTCGTATCTGACGGGCTCACGGCGTCTGTCGCTCTCGTCGTCGAATAGAGAGGGTTGGAGTGCGCTGGCGCCGCGGCCTTCGTTTTCTTAACCGGGAACAGCTTCATCCATGCGCGCCTGGTAAATTCTTTCAATCGCGAGACATGCTGAGGTGGTTGGCTTGGCTGGATCGCCATATTGTGGCCAGCGTCTTCTTGCGGAGCCTGATCAGCCATGGTGATGGCGAAGTCGATGTTTCCAAGTGATAGTGCTGTGTGGGTCAGTCGAAGTGATGTTTGCCCGTATGCACGACCGTTTGCCTGCGGAGGCGCCTGCCGAATCTGCAGACAAGTTTCATGTGACGGCCAATCAATTGAGCGACCAGAATTTGAAGAGTCACTGGCTTGGCCAAAGAGGCCAGGCTAGATCTGAAGGCATTGATTTCGTGCAAGAGTCTGCTTCTACTCTAATCTTGTAGCTATGTCACATTATGCCTTTTGGTTGAGCCCGTCCCACGCCTCGCTATGTGCGTTCCTTATCCGAAGCCGTTCATCTCCCGCCTACCACATTGAGCACTCCACCGTCTATCGCTAGGATCTCACCATTGACGTAGTGGTTCCGTGCGAAGAACAAGACACCCATACCAATCTCCTCGTCTCTACCAGCTCGCATAAGTGGCACATGACCAGAGCTCTCAATCTTCTCCTGTGGGAATTCAGATTTCTGCTTCTCATTCGACTCCTTGGCTGTCATCTCTGAAGGGAAATATCCGGGTGCGATACTGTTGACTCGCACCCCAAGCTTCTGGAACTCTGCAGACATGAGTTTCGTTAGGTGGACTGTTGCACCTTTGGCAGCATTATACGAAAAATGGCCTTGGGCATGGCGCATCAACCCACTCATGGATGAGATCGTGATTACACTAGGTGCAAACCTCTCGCTGCCTGTGCCGTCCTCTGCGTTAATCGCATCCTGAAGCAGGGGCAAGAAAGCCACGGTGGTGAAGTAGACCGACGTCACGTCCGTCTCCATCGTCTGCTGCCACTCCTCGACACTCTCGCTGTCCCATAGCTTCTTCTTCATGTCTTCAGCATCTTCCTCCGTCGGCTCGGCCTTTGGTCCTGCTACGCCAGCGTTGCACACAAGCAGATTGATGTATTTCTCCTTCTTGCGTAGTTCTATCACTACATTTTCCAAATCTTTCTTCTTCCTTACATCGCAAGGTCCAAGTGGGATGATCTGGCCTCCACTGTTCTTGACTGCGGCGGCCTGTGCTTCGTTTTGGGCGTCTGAGCGCGAGGGATCGTGGGATCTGGCAGCATTCTCGAGGGCCTCGACGCGACGTCCAGTGATATACACTTTCGCTCCATTTGCAGCGAGTGCTTGGGTAGCCATCAAACCAATGCCAGTGCCGCCACCTGTTACGACGCACACATAGCCCTTCACTCCGAAGAGCCTGTTGACATCGAAGTGGTGTGTTTCTGCCATGGTTGGTGATTGAAGTTGCTGCTGATCCGAAACAGGAGTAGTCGGGATAAGCTATGTGAAGAGGATTCGTGGATGTCTGTCTTCAATGTAAGAGCAGAAGTGCAGTGTGCCCTTGCATTTCTACTTGGTCTCTGCGCATCAACGTGACATCATGATCGACAGGTACACATGTGATCGTGTGTTTGGAAAGATAATCAAATTTCTTAACCACAATTGTACTCGCCGTGTTGCATTCAACATTAGCCTGGCGTTTGCACCGCAAATGCTGAAATGCTGTGCTTGGGGTATCTGTTCGTCAGTCTGCCTTCCTCCGACCCGCCGCTCTTTCCGCCTTCGCCTTCGCGCTCCTTCTCCCCTTTCGTCAACGTCACAAATGAGATATAACAGCATCTCCCTCTCCGCGATGCTGTAGAAATTCTGCCGGTGGCATGCTCCCGTATAGGAAGGCCAGGATGCAAGTGTGTTGATGTAGCACACCAAGCAATGCTCGGATTGACATAATCATCCAATATTCTCTCCTTCGCCGCAAACGACCATCGGACGAGCGATCAGGAGAAGCCACCGCGTCCGCCTTGGCTTCTGAATCTGCATAGACCTCGGGATCGTGGCCGCCGATACAGACCTCTGGGAGAACCGACACACAATTTGCCGCCGCCGCCGCCCTGTCTGGACATTGGAGATTCTCATTCCGAGTCAAAATGCACACGGTTCCATAGTGCTGTCCCTCAATCCAGCTTCCAGTGACTTGTCAGTCCATCATCGTGGTCTTTGCCGAGATACAGCTCCACAGCATATAATGCCATGACTCCAGCGAGATTGGCCCAGCGTGAAATATTTCCACCACCTTCGCCACCTTGGCTAGTCCACCATTCGCCTGGATGATCGGCTGCAGCGCTCGAAAAGTGCTGCATGAGTAAACTTGTGTAAACCGCGATCAAGATGCTAGGGCTGAAATAGGTCAAGAAACCCATCAAGGTCTGCACACCTTCGGATGACTCCTCGAATGAAGGATCTTCGGCAAGTGCTCGTGCCCCAGACTCTCGGACAGCTGGGATGATTCGTGCTGCTGCGTAAAGGACCAGCAAGCGGTATATCAGTGAGATGATGACCGAAGGCGTGACCGTCTGAATGGCAGCCATCATGAATCCAAAGGCCGAGTGAATGGTGTTTGGAAGAGACGAGAGCGCTTGTGTGATGGTCGAATAGCTGGCCATGAGGATTGGTGGCAGAGGTGGAAATTCTCCAGCTTCGGATGCTGCAGGCGTCTCTGGCAAGGGATGGCTGGGTTGGTAATCGGTAAAGATTTGGTAGATACAGAGAGTGATGTATGCAAACAGCAGACTGCTCTCGACAATGTTGCCCCGTCCAGATCCGATGCCCCAAGCACAGAGAAAGAATGCACTGGCAATGGCGATTCCGATCAGGATAGCGTCCTGGCTGTCCAGTCCTGGGAAAGTTGACATGCGGTAGATGAAGTAGATGGAACTGGCAATGATGCTGCCGGAGGGCACGAGCAGACCTAACATCCAGGTATCTCCCCCATCGCCGTTGTTTACCAGGTATCTCGTCACCTGGCCAGCAGCTTGAATGACCAGCAAGCTGCAGAAGCCTTCTGTAAGCTGGAAGACGGGCGTCGAATATCTCAGCACCTTGTCCCATCCTCCGATCAATGCATGCTCCAGCAGCCCTTCCTTCCCAAAGACCCAGTCCTTGAAGCTAGCATTTTGGTGCAATGGCTTGGTTGCGTTGTAGAATGCGCGGCTCACCCAGCTCGCGTCGTCCCCAGCGTCCACGCTGAATTTGTTCAAGCTCCAGATCAGCAAGAAAGGTATCACCAGCGTCTGTAAGCCTGAGATGGTGTTGACTGCAGCCCTCCTCCATGTCGATCGTTCTGGCGTAGCAATTCGCAGACATGATAAGAAGAAGTAGTAGCTTGCCAGGCTCAGACTGAAGGCCAGGCCGCACGTGCGACCACCGACATCGAAAGCGAGTGGAATGGTGAAGACGATGGAGAACAGGAACAAAGTGCTCCCGAGAAAGCGGAGTATCATCGCTTAAGCCGCACGTAGGGTTCGAAGGCGCGAAGGCTGTCGGGCGTCGAGTTGAGTCGACTCGAGGGTTTCATGCGCGGCGCCGGAGGAATGTATAAAGTGGCTCTCCTCCCACCAGTCCGGTGGTCGAGGCGGTGGAGGGAGGAAGGAGGGTGGTGTTCGGCGGAAGTGGAAAGGATTCTGGTTGACAAATTAGGCTCCGAGCGGTGACAGTAGCGCCTGGCTGGGCGTGTTGTGAGAAGGTTCCACCCGGCGAGACTCTCCACAAGGACCACAACGTCCAGAAGGGACGGGCCGTTCTCTGTTGTGGTGAGAGGCGGTCAAGAGGCAGAGGGAGAGATGGAGGCAGCGGCAGGGCAGGGCAGAGTGAAGCGAGTCGTAGAAGTATGGCGAGAGGTCGCGTGCGAACAAGAGCAAGCGCAAGGACACAGCAGTCCAGCAGCAGCCAGCCCGCCAGCAACCAGAGAGCTCTGCGCGACCTGCAGCTTGCTTTTCTGCCTGCTTTTAGCGATCGACGCTTCGCATGACAGCCCGATTCAGGATTTGTTCGGACCAGACGACCTCAGTATCGTGCTCGGCGTTGGACAAGCGCAATCAAACATGGTCTATCGTCCGGAAGCAGGGTTCGATGGGTGTGGCGGTGATGCTGATGCTGATGCTGGCGTGTCGCGAACACGTTACACGTTGCGACTCCCGCATCATAGCACGTGAAAGCCAGAATGCTTGGCGCCAATCGACCGAACCTTGGCCATCGGCTCATGCAGGGTCCAGAGCTTATTGGTAGAGACTTACACAGATGGCGTTGAATGTCTCCGGATTTTAGCGTCCCATTCTTTTGGGTTTCTGCGGGACTGTCCCCACCATTCCTGCTAGGAAATGGCCCGATTATTAGGCGTATGATGGGACCCACCAAACTTACGGATTTGCTCGGTTTTCTTGTTAAGGTCGGCTTGCCTAATTAGGCTGTTATAGTAGCTTCTAAGGTGTTATTACTATCGCTGCTATCGCTATCGCCTATCTAATTCTTCCTCTTATTCGGCCTCTTAATAGTAGGTAGCATTCTCGGCACTAATCTCTTACGCTTACTGCTATTATATTTATTAGAAGTCCGCCTCTTACCTACTACTTCTTATATAGCGTTATTATTTTCTAACTAAGAGAAGTCTTCTACTGCTTCTAGGTCTTATTTTAATAGTAAAGCCGCTCTTACTAGCGAAGTAAGGTCTATAACCTCGGCTGTTTCTTCGATAGTGTTTAAGTTAAACGGCTAAGCTAACTAAGCCTATAATAGCGACTTACGGAGCGAAGTAGTAGTAGTAGTAGTAGCACCGCGGAGCGGCGCCTTCTTACGAGGTAAGGGCCTAAAGGATAGCGGACTCGGCGTAAGAAGGTCGATTACGTATAACGGTCGGATTAGTAATAAGACTGTCTCGTTAAGCGGCGGAAGATTAAACGCTCGAGGCCTATATTTAGTCGCTAGTAGAGGTAGTAGTAGTAGCGGAAGCGTTAGATAGCGAACGCGCGTTAGAGTAATAGGTGCCGGTAGAGGTTGTTATGTCTACTATCGCTATCGGTTACTAGTTAATTAAACCTTAGGCGCGCCTTCTCGAAGGAAGTCGTCTAGCAAGAAGTTAGCTAGCTAAGTAAGCGTGTCCTTAACCTTGCGCAAGAAGCCTCTTATAAACTTGTCCTTTAGTATGCTATCGTAGATTGACTTATTGTTACAGACCGCGTAGAAGTGCTATAAGAGGCCTTCTATACCTTTATTAAAGTAAGCGCGAAGGTTTCGAAGATAGGGGTCGCTAGTATTGTAGTTTTAGTTGTCCTCGAAGCCCTCGAGAAACAAGGTAGTACTATCTCGCTGCCGCTAATACTAACTAATTTCTATACTGTTAAAGCCGTAGTAGAAACTAACGTAGATCTGTTATTATTATAGAGTAAGCGGCGTTACAAATAGGTAGTATCTTAGTATATAGTAGCATAGCAAATGCTGCTAGAACTAAGGAAGGCAATTATAGTAAGGCGGCTGTCTATTACGATATAATACAAGGCCTTCGTATAGCGGCAATGCCTTAGCCTTATATTCTTCCGCAATAGCGAGTTGTTTTCGGACGAAGTCCTACGCTGCTAGAGGGCTTAATTGCTTAAAATATAGCATCTCTTTAACCTTCTAGTATTGTATGCGTTTGCTAAGTCTATAGCTTTGCAGGTCCGCCTTATATAGTTATCGAGCGTCGATTGTTAGCAACTCGGTTATAGTACTATATATAGATAGCTAGGCGAGGTCCTTCTTCCGGTCGTATTTAATAGCATTATAGTATCCTTCTAGTAGCGATATAGTACGAATTTGCATAAGGACTAGATTATTTAACCGAGCCTATATTATCTATTTCTATAACTTCTTAGACCCCTAGTTCTTCTGTAAATACTAAGCCTCTTCTTGCTTATTAAGAAGCCGCAATTCGGCTTCTATTGCAGTAATAACTTCCTTAACTTCTGCCTTACTCCGAGCGTAGTATATAGCCCTTTTAAACAGTCGCTAGACTAGAGGGTACTTGAATTTAGGAAAGTAGCGAAGGAAGGTCTCTTTAGCGTGCCGCTAGCAGAGATATAGTCGTATTTCCTCTTCGAAGGACAGTCGAATAGCGGACTGTTCTTGTGCCGAGTCGTTAGTTATAGCTAACTTCGGCTTCTAGCGAGGGCACTACTGCTTTAGGACTTAGAAAGCAGCTTACTAAAGCCTCGCACGCTGTGTTTGCAGCAATATATATGCTGCTAGTATCTAACTTTCGAATCTATTACGGACATATACTATAAAGAGATGCTAGCCTATATCGGTAGTCTTATACGTTACGTCGTAGAGAAATAACTAATCCTAGATTAGTTGTTGCTTTGCGGTTCCTATAGCTTTATCTAAAGCCTAGTTACGTAAGTACTTACATCTCCTACTAATCCACTTTCTAATAACTGCCTCTGCTAATCCGCTTGCTATACAATACCCTTATAAGGGCGCCCTTCTATTGTTACTAATACAGCTTTATACTGTATCTAAGCGCCGTTTACTAGATTAGTTAATAGCGCTAGCTAGCTATATAGGTTCTCGAGTTGTAACGAGATATTGCCCTTCTTAGCTAGGGTTACCTTCTTTATATTCTTCTTCTTCTTCGACTACTTTATTACACCCTCCTTTATACGATAACCTCTAACAACGGCAAAACGGTCAGTATTACGACCTTCCTTTATTAGATAGAATACATGAGCTGTATTCTAGTCGTATTAGTCTATTAAGTACTTAAGAACGACCTTTAAGCCGTTACTAGCACCTCGTACGTCCTACTTACTATTAGCTTCTAACTCGACTCGAATAGGCCTCCGCTATCGACTCGAGAGGCAACCCTACTAAACTTACTATATAATCTATCGAATGGTAATGCAGCGAGCCCGCCTCGGTAGAAGCGTTAGGCGACGACGAAGCGACCTTGTATATATACGGCTCGTTATAGCCCTTCGAGCGATATATAGCAATTATAATATACGTAGCCTCGCACCTATCCTTATAGTACTCTACCTTCCGAATACTATCTAGCAACTCGCGTTGCCGACTCGCATCCTTCCGACAACGATAATAGTATAATGTCCGTTGCATTAGTCTATCTTTGTGCCTATCCTATACCTTCTAGTACTAGAAGTTGCTAGCAAATAGCTACACCTTATTAAACTTGTCTGCGTCTAGGAACAGGCCATTTTTGGGTGGATTAAAGAGCTAAGAACGCAGTAATATATCGAGATAAGAGGGGATTAGATAAGCTATTATAATATAGTAAGAAAGAGCGTAGAAATTAACCTACCTACATACCTCCACTAACACCTTATATATGCCTATATAGCTGATTTTTCGTTAACATAACGACTTCCTACTACGACATAACGTCGCCGACTAATAGATCCTTAGTATGCCCGATTTAGCTAGCAAAAATAGCTATATCTCGATCCTATAATCGACTCTACTACTACCGAGTATATCCGTAAATGTAACGCAAGCTACTAAAGCTACTACAACCCTTATACGCTAAAAACCGGAGACAATTAACACTAACTACTTACACCCTAATAATTGATTAAGCGAGATAGCGGAAGGGGGTAATCCCCTCGCTACTTCCCCGAGCCCTAGCTACCCGCCCGAGCCCTAGTAATACAGTAGATTATAGAATCCGCTGTTCCTAACAAAATCGCGTAGAGAAGCGATTTCCGGATCCCTATAACTACTACCGACCGGGCAACTACTTCTATATTTCGATTAAGCGAGATAGCGGACGGGGGTAATCCCCGTAAACGGCAGCTAGCTTAAAAGTGTAAGAAGGGTTATATTAGTAGGTAGATAGGGTAGTAGTAAATTAGTATAGTATTCGATAAGGATCTAAGAGGAAAGGGAGGAAGATAGGAGAGTTAGCCTAACGCTAAGCGCTAAGTCCTGCCTAAGGCATTAAGACCCTAGCTTTACTTAGCCTAGTTATATGCTAATTACGTATAGCCTCTTTAGCCCTAATATACGCTTCCCTTCTAAAGGCCGCGCCCTCGTAGCCGGTCTCTATTCTAGTCTTAACCTCTATTACTACTAACTTAGTAGGTCTAATAAGCCGCTTAGTCCGCGCTAAATTAAACGCATAACTACCGATTATGTAACTATGTTAAACCTTACCTCTAATATAATATAATGTCTAACTCTAACTACGCTATCCTTATATATAATAAAGTAATATATAACTATAAGAATTAAGGACCTTCGACTAATTACAATATAAGCGCGTCTTCCCTACTATAATAGGTAGACGTATAAGGTATTATAGCCCTACCTCCGTTCTAAGTAATATCGTACCGAGTTCTTTGCGTCTACTCTTAAAAGACCTAGTAATGTCCGCTTCCGAGGGTTTGTCCGCTTCCGAGGGTTATTATTCTTATTGTTCGTAGTTTCGCTAGCTCTAATTAGCTAGGTTTAGTAGCCTTTAACTATTAATCTTATCTTATCTTTTCCGAAAAAACACAGCTCGTCTAGTTTCTATAAGTAAAGGCTATTATAAGTATAGTAGTAGAGGTTTGCCTTACTTAAAGAGTTAGATAGATCGAGGAGTAACCTATTATCCGCAAGATCGACCCCGGCTAGCTTAGCTCTATAGTTTTGCCCTTAGTTAGTTAGTCTATTAGTCGCTTAATCTTTTAAGCGGCTTAAAGTTTTAGTTAAAGTTTTAATTAAAGTTTTAATTAAAGGTGCCTTAGGCTCGTAGTATAGGTAAGGTTATATCTATAGGCGTAGCGATAATAGCAAGTAATATTAATAATAGCGGCGCTAGTCGTCTTAGCGCTAACTTTACCTTGCTTTCGATTTCCTCCTTCGACTAATAGTATACTCCGTAATACTATTACTAATATAGCCGCGCCGGCCGCGCCGTCCTTCGCTAGCTTATAGCGCGACGCTATTATCTTTATTACCGTTATTCGTACGCGCGCGCGCACATCGCCCTTGTCGATCGCTTAGGCCTTAGGGCTTCGATAGAATAAAGGAATAAAAGGGGGACCTAAATACTAGAAGAAGGGCCTTATAGGGCGCGTTAGTAGAGAGGTAGTTTCCTAAAAGAGCAGCGGATAGTTAACGCGTTATAGCGCGCTTATTAACACTCGGTACGCGTTTACTATAGTAGTATAGTCTTATTGTCCTAGTTTGCCGGCCTCTAATTAGTTAGCTAATAGCATCCCGGGGGTAGCATTATTCCTAGGCGACATTATAGGCCCTTAGCCTTCTTCTTGTTCTTTATACTAGTCTAATACTTATCTAATAACTTAGTTATATCTTTAAAAGAACCTTTAGCTTCCTACGA